CTCTCTCTCTCTCTCTCTCTCTCTCTCTCTCTCTCTCTCTCTCTCTCTCTCTCTCTCTGCCGGCAGTCCGTCGCCCCGCACCTCCGACATCAACCCGAGTCGTCACCCCGCATGGCCTGAGTATGCAAGCCAGGTTCGCCCACGTGCCACAGTCCATTGCGGCCACGCGTCAACCCCGCGCACTCAGCCCCAGTTCTTCGGATCGCCCGACTCTCTCCTCACCGTCTTTCTGCTCGTTAGCCGATCCTCTCGACCGCGCTAACTCCCAAGTAGACAATTAATCGCGCTTGTGAAATTTATAGCATGCATGCTTGCGCGAGGGATATGGGATTAGCACAAAGTGATGGGGAAGAGAAAAGAGGGAGTGCCTATGTCTGCATGTTCAGGCCGCAGCGCGGGGGACGAAGCCACTCTCCGCATATCCATCCGGGCATGTAACCGTGGGAACCACTCAGAACAGAGCAAGAGTGTGCATGCGAAGACGAGGCGGGAAAGAAAGAAATACGAAAACCATCAAGAACAAGAAGATTACAATTGCGATCACGCCCGCCAAAAACTACAGTTATACACAGGATTGAGGCGCAGACGGAATCAGAGCCCAGACCCTATCGGGTCACGGCGCGTGCGAGCAATCAGCATCGTGCCGTCAAGTTGCAAGGTGCCTAAATTCCTAGTGTAAATCCTAATTGGAAGAGAAAATTCCGAAAAGAACAATTCCAAAAGCCCGCGGGGGATCGACATTAGTTCGAATTTCGAAAATCCCCGCACGCTGATCGCGCCAAAATTCCTAGTGTGCATAGCAGAACAAGAAAGAAGTTATGGAAACCGTTATTTCTCGCTCTCGCTAGGGCGCGATCACTTAATCGTCGGCGTGGGACTTTCCCGGCACCGGCCCGACAACTCCAACGAAAACGAAAAAGAAGCGACGGTATCCAGACAACTTGCCCCACCGATCCCCCTTGCGCCCCGCCACCCATAAAGGCCCTCCAGTTTCCCCACAGTGTCTTCGCACAGGAAGTCGCGTGGTTGCAGTCTTGCAGAAGATAGTTCGACACATATGTGACGCCCAGGGGGTTCCAATTTTGTGCAAGCTCCCGCTTGCACCCATTTTTCTCCCAAGCGCGATGAAAAGAAGAAGGAAGAAGGAATTGCAACTCCGCCAATATCACACGTGTCATTACCGTACGATAAGAGTGTGGAAGTCACCCTCTTGACACGTTACCAGATCCGCTTCCATCCTAATGACCGGCAGGGAGAGGGAAAGGGAGTCGGTACATGAGAGGGTGGCGTGGGGGAGGGTTACTCGGGAGGGGAGGTAAGAAATTCGCCATTCCCGCTACTATCTCCAGAA